GCCCTCTTTTGGACATTTTACACAAAAACAACAATACCATAGGATTTATTTGTGATGGCTTCTATTCACTTAGCATAATGGTTCTGAGATACAGCCAAGTTATGAAAATGTGTTAATATCCCACTTCTTATGGTTGACTTGTATTCTACTATGTATACATGTTATATCCTGTTTATCCATTCACTCATAAATTCACATTGGACTATTTCCAGTTTCTCTTACTATTAATAATGATATCCATGGAAGGCTTTGGATGAACCTAATTTTCCTTTCTCTTGAGCAACTTCTTAAAATAGATTGCTAGATTGTAGTCAGTTTATGCTCAACTTTTTTTTTTGGGGGGGGAGTCCAGTCATGGGGCCTGAACTCTGGGCCTGGACGCTGTCCCTCAGCTCTTCAGCTCAAGGCTAGTGCTCTACCACTAGAGCCACAGTGCCACTTCCGGCATTTTTTCTGCTTATGTGGTGCTGAGAATCGAACCCAGGGCCTCGAGCATGCAAGGCAAGCGCTCTACCACTGAGCCACCTTCCCAGCCCACTATGCTCAACTTTTTAAGAAAACATCACACTGTTCTCAAAGGGGCTGTACAGAGATCAATTGGCAATGCAGAAGGCTTCCAGTTTCTCCCCCTCCTTACTTTCAGCCCATTTCTATTGCTGAATCCATGATATGTCCCTTGTAGACAATAGATAGTTGGGTCTTGCATTTTCCTTTTAAAATCCAGTCTGAAAATATGACTTTGGAATGGAGGTATTTAGCTTATTCACATTTAATGCAATTGTTGATATGACTGCAAGCAATAAATCTCTCCATTTTTACTTATCTAAGAATTCCTTTGTTTTTCTGTCATATGGAAGGACAGTTCTACTATATATCAAATTCTTGGCTGACTGATTTTTCTTCCCACATGTTGAATGCATCATCTTCTTGGCCTCCACTGTTTTTGATGAAAAGTCAAAATTAAATTTTTTTCATACTTATTGTAGCATATTTCTTTTGTTGCTTTTAACATTTTTTCTTAATCTTAATATACTTTGTCTATGTAAGATTCTCTTCTTCGTTGTTCTCAGGGCTCATTGAGCTTTTAGGATTAAATTTGGGAGTTTCAGCCAGCATGCCTTCAAATATTTGTTTCTACCCTTGTCTCTTCTTCTGGAACTATTTTTACACATACAGTTATAAGCTTGATTTTCATAGGCCTTAGAGATTCTCTTCACATTTTTTTTCGATAAAACAAAACACCTTGGTTCTTTAGAAGCTGAATAATTTTTTTGGCTATACATTCTGATTTACTTACTCTTCTTTATTTCTGCCACCTCAAATCTGTTACTGAGTCCCTCCAGAGAATTTTCACTTCAATTTATGTTTGTCAAATCCAATACTTCAATTTCTTTCTTTTTTAAATGTAATTTTATTGCACAGAGGGGCTAGTTACATATTTAAGGTAGTGAGTACATTTCTTGTTGAACTTGTTTCCCTTCTCTCGTTTTTCTCCCACTTTCCCTCCCTGCCAATTGCCCCATCCCCTACCCCAAGTTGCACAGTACATTTCCAACACGTTGTCTTGTGAGTATCACTGGTGCATTAAGTTTCTTGCTTGAGGAGTCTTTAAACTCCCATTCCCTGGCAGGTGGGGGGGGGGGTAATGAAATGTTTCTCTTTTCCCATCTCTCCCAACTTTATCCTGTTAGACTAAAATAAATCCTTGCTAAAAACTTCAGAACACAATTCCTTTATTGAAATTCTGTATTCAGTAAGCCTTTTCTTTAACTCTTTGAACATGGTTGCCTTTCCATCTAAGCCTATTTTATAAGGTACTCAGTGGTGAGCTTTTGTCTTTGTTCTCTGTGTGTGCGCACGCGCGCGTGTGTGTATGTGTATGATGCCAGCATAGGCATGAATTCAAGGTCTCACACCCTAGCCTAGCTTTTTCACTCAGGGTTGTTCTGCCACTTGTGCCACATTTGCACCTCCATACTTTTTGGTGTGTGCCAGTAGTGGGGTTTGAACTCAGCACTTGGACATTATCCCTTAGCTTTTCACTCAACACAGGCACTCTACCACTTGAGCCAGTTTGACTTTTGGCTTTTTGGTGGTTAACTGGGGATAAGACTCTCATGAACTTTCCTTCCTTGGGCTGGCTTTGAACTGCAATCCTCAAATCTCAGCCACTTCATTAATAAGGATTAAAGGCATAAGCCACCAGTACCCAACTTCACTTCTGACTTTTTGCTGCTAACTGGAGATAAGCGTCTCGCAGACTTTTCTGACCAGGCTGGCTTTGAACTGGGACCCTCATATCTCAGCCTCATGCATAGAAATATAGGCATGAGCCACTGGTACCTAGCTCAAAAGAGTTTTCTGCTAACTCCTACATCTGAAGACAGTCATTCAGAGCTAATTCCTATACACTGCTCTTTTCCTGCATACAAATTACATTTGCTTCTCACCTTTTGTTTCTCATTGTGTGTTGAATTTTGGGCATCTGGTAGCAACTCCAGATTCTGACTTTTCCCCCCAAGAACTGTTAAAATATTGTTTTGCTTATTTAGAAATGTTCCTGGACTAAGTCTCTAAAATCTGCTTCACATATAAAGTAGAGCTGGTGATGTCTTTGTTAATTGTTTTTCTTAATCTTATTTCCAAGTTAGACTTCTACTAGTCATCCCATGCCTACAACACTTAGTATTCTGGTAAATATTAGTCAGGGATTTCACTCAAACACTAGAGCCAGAAAGGTTTCTTCTGTCTGCTTCTGGTTTTTGTATGTGGTCTGGGGATCATACTCAAATCAGGTTGTTCTCATGTCTATATGACCTTAACTGTCCAGTGTCCTAACTTTCTGTGGCTCTCTTACATCTGTGAAGGAGTCTTGGGCCTGCTCCATATCTGCAGCGCATACACACGCACTAAAGCTCAATGTGAAATGTAAAAAGAGCTTTCAAGTCTCTGATGGTTCTCTTACCTTCCAGAACTACTTTTGTTGGGGGAGAGTGGGGTGGGTAATGGGGTTTGAACTTGGAGTCTGGGTGCTGTTCCTGAGCTTTTGTGCTCAAGGCTAGACTCTACCACTTCAAGCCACAGCTCCACTTCTGGTTTTCTGGTGGTTAACAGGAGGTACGATTCTCATGGACTTTCCTGCCCAGGCTAGCTTTGAAGCAGGATCCTCAGATCTCAGTCTCCTGAGTCACTAGGATTAGAGGTGTGAGCCACCAGCACCTGGCTACTTATTAAGCATCAGAACTACTTATTAAGTCACCAATAAGACCTCTGGTCCACTGCTTCTGGAGCCACTTGTCTCTCCTGTTCATTCACTCCTGAGCTGGCCACCTGAACTGACAATCTTCCAAAGGAGGAAGGAGGAGCATCTTCTGGAAGTGGCAGCATAGCCCACCTTGCTCTGGTTGAATCATGACACTCACACAGCTGGAGGATAGAATAGACAGTAACAGGCACGGACAGCACAGACTCATTCTGTTCCTATCCGAAGTTGACCAGTCTTCCCGAACAAATGCGTCCGAGTCTGTTTTGTTTTTACAGCCTGACAACAGGTGCTGTGAAGAGTCTTCTCCCAGCTTTCTATTTGCTTTGGGAGGAACACGTTTCTCTTTCTAAACCCCTCCACTCTCTCATATTGGAAATCAATAGGTCAACCATGCTTCCATTCTGCTGGATTGGAATTATTAATGCTACCAAGAAGTATAACACATGAGTGAAAACTCTACTAAGAACTCTCATTCTCAAAAGGAAAAAAAAAATGTTTCCCCTCCCTAGAAAAAATTCAACCAAAAGACATATAGGCTGGGTGCCAGTGGCTCATGCCACTGACTAATCCTAGCTACTCAGGAAGCTGAGATCTTAAGATCATGATTTGAAGCCAGTCCGGGCAGGAAAATCCAAGAGATTCTTATCTCTGATTAACCACCAAAAAGCTAGAAGTGGAGATGTGACTTAAGTAGTAGAGAGCCAGACTTGGGCAAAAAATGGACAATGTTCAGTTCCTGAGTCCAAGCCCCAGTACATAAACACTTGATTGAACACACACATGCGTGCGCGCACACACACACACACACACACACACATAGATGAATAACTGCACAAATTTCAATATCTATTTCATTCGATTAAATCAATTAAAGAATCTCAGTTCTGAGAGGCAGCTTCTAGAACCTTAGACCATGAATCCCTTCCTGGACATGAAGAAAATGATAGGCACCAGAACGAAGATGTCTCCCCTGGAACCCTTTAGCTTGACAACACGTTCTATGCTGTGTCCCTTTACAGTTCACCACCTCTTTTTGTTAGGTTTTGGTGACAGATACACATTGTCCATTCCTGTTAACAGTTCCTCTAGGAGGGTTCCTGGAAGTCTCCCACACTGGCCATTACTAGATTTTCCTTTGTCTTTCCCCTCAGACAGGCTAAGTCTTCTTGGGAGTGTCATGTGAGCTCTGGATACCCAAGGACGAGCCCCAAGGAAGGAAAAAGAACTTTCTGCTGCATCTAAACATCAGTCTCTTAGGACTACAAGTCATTATGTTGAAAACAAACTTTACAGCTTTGGTGGCAGGGGGGGGGAGGACTGGGTGGGGAGAGAGGGGTAGGATGGGAAGGGATGGGAAGGGAAACAAAGGAGGAGGCTACAATGCTTGATAAGAAATGCACTCATTATCTTGCCCATGTAATTGTAACCCTTCTGTATGGTATTTTCAAAATAAAAAAAAAAACCTTTTGACAAAATTGTTGACAAAATTTCTGATCTTCAGTTAGGTAAATTAAGGGGTCTGCCCACAGTCATACTACATGAGCAAGATGAACTACATTGAGCTGATAATATAGATGGAAGGCTTCAGAAATTCTTACCTGAATGAAAGAAGGAAGGACTGGGTTCAGGGCATGTGGACAGACTTGGTTGCATGAAGATCAATTTTTACATGACCCAGACACAGAGAAGCTGTCCACATAAGCTCTTAGAACATGTTCACACTTGTCTTTCTTACCTTAGCAAAGAAAATCCAGGCTGCACATTGTCCTGGGGCCAGAAGGCTTTTCAGTTTCACTGTGGTGAACATGAGAAAGAATCCTAAGATTCCACTGGAAGGAGAAAACATTCTTCAGTTAGTAAGGCTTGCTTCAGACAACAGCTGGCAAACTTCTGAAACATTCTACCAGTCCATGTTTTTTGTCTTCTTTGTAGCTCTGACTAGCTTTGACACCTCTCCTCCACAGCCTCCCAAATGTTGGGATTACAGGTATACAACCCCTTCCATTTGCCACCTAGTTTCTAATCTCCATCACATCTGCATTTTCTAGTGATCCCTGGATAAAAACCCGAAGTTCTTTTCTAAAGGGCTATGTTGAGAGCATTGGAGCTGAGGAATGAGAGGGGAACAGAAATTGGGGAGATTTCTGGCTAAATCATAAAAGGGAAAAAATGAGATGGATATTCTTCTTTACAATACTATATCTGGCAAGTCTGGTACTTGCCAAGGTAGAACATCGTTTTCTACTAACAGTTTATATTAGGATATATTAATTATAGACAATGAGTGTCATTATGACAATTTCACGCATTAACTTTGGTTATATTCACATACAACTCCTCCCCCCACCGAATTTCCTTTTCTTGTCCCCTCCTACCCATTGAAGAATTATAATTTCTTTCAAGCAAAACAAGCCAGCCTTCCAAAGGAAAACTTCCCATAGGACAGAGGCCTGGATTGGTCTGGGCTCAAGGTAAAACTGAAGAGGAAGGCTGTTCCAGCAATGCATGTGGTTAAGCCAGCAGTGCCCAATCCAGGCCCACAACATGGAAAAGCTACAATTTGGAGATGTTGCCTGAGCACCTGTGTGAAATGACAGACCCTCACCCTGGGAGCTTGAGGGGAAGCAGCCCCTTAGGGCTCTTCAGATGCCTGGCCCAGTAAGGGTGCTGCAGGGACAACCAATTATAAAATTGTCAGTATGTGGTCGAGCTCAACCTTCTCAACTCTTCCTAGTTGCTTAAGTGTGACTTTTAATAAGTCATGAATTTTTGGTGAATGGGATTCGAATTCAGTGCCTTGTACTTGCTAGGCAAGAGCTCTACCACTTGAGCCATGCCCCAGTCTCTTTGGCTTACATTTTATTTCAAATGGGGGTCTCATATGTATGCCCAGGGCCAGCCTCATACTGTGATCCTCCTATTTCCCTCTCAAGTAGCTGGAACTACAGGCATGCACCACCACACACCTGTGGCTTTTATTCTCAATTGAAAACTGATACAACTACTTGTACCCAAAGCCATAGAGGTCACACAAGCTCATATGAGAGGTCATATAACCTCAATTGTGCCTCCAGATGCTCACATGCAGTACTGCCCTCTGAGTGAGTGGTTCCAACTTGGGTCCTAAGCTCTGAGTGGCAAGGACCCCATCCTGAGCTGCTCATTGTATTTCTCCAGGCCACAGTAGGTATTAAAGAAATATTTGACCTAAATTTCCCTGACCCTTAATTTTCTTATCTGGAAACTGGTCTTTATCCACCTGACACAGCCAGAAAAGATCTGTGACAGCAGCCTTAACATAGCTCTTAAATTGAATTTCCTCTGTCTTCTCCTTGCTTTTCAGTTTGATCAGTTCATCATTTTGAAAATAAAACATCAGCTATATGAAAATTATATAATTTGTCCATAGTGTCCTTATTCCAGTCTCTGGCAGGAGAATGACAAGGACCTTTTACTGGAGGGATAATAGATATGCTTGTATCTATCTTTATGTCTTTTCCATTCAACATGGGATGGATGGTCTATGTCCTGGTGCTATGTCCTATATCTAGTTCTCTGCATGGAGTCTGGTGGGGGTCCTAAAGTATCAATACAGTGTCAATCCTAGTTGATCCAATTATTAGTGTAGCAGAAAATACCTTTAAGCTGTCTTGTCCATCTTTGCTCAACAAAGTGAAACTACAAATAAGGATTTGATAAGAATCAGTAATCCAAAAGAAGGCCGGGTACAGGTGGCTCATGCCTGTAATTCTAATGACTCACAAGGCTGAGATCTAAGGATTCCAGTTCAAAGACAGCCAGGACTTTTAAGACAGACTGCTAACCCAATTAACCTGAGGAAAAAAATCTGACATGGAACTGTTGCTTAATTTTTATCTTCAAGCACCAGTCCTGGGCAGAAAAGGCTAAGGGAGAGCATGAGGTCCAGAGTTCAAGTCCCAGAACTGGCGCGCGCGCACACACACACACACACACACACACACATACACACACACACACACACACACACACTGAACATGACATTAAATTGCCACCTGTGCTTTCTTGACTGGCAGCTTAAGTAGATGACAGCCAAAGAAAAGAAACTCCTAAGAATGTTGACATAAATCTAAAGAAATATAAGGCAAGTTCTAGACATTTCTCTTCCAAATCAGACATAACATGGACACTATTACTGGTTTTTTCCTCACTGAACATTTCTCAATTTATACTGGGAAATATTAAAAGTTAAATGATTTAGTAGATGGCTTTCTTTTGTGGAAGTTAATTCAAATAACAGTATTCACTATGATTTGAATACTCAAGAAAGTATTAATCAGCCAGAGCTCAGAATCACTTTCTAAATTATGAACAATGCAACTGCTAGGGCTGGGTAATTCAAAGACATTTCAATGTTTTAGGAAAAGTGCTTAAAAACTGCTTTTTTTTTTTTCTCTAAGAAACACTGACTTCTTATTTGGTTGCTAAGTTAACTAGGAGTAGGATGAAGGCTAGACAGCCCAGAATCCTGTACTTTGTACCTATGTCCTTTATTTTGAGACCTTCTGCAGTCACTTTGTAGCCATCTCTGAATCCAGAAGAGACAGACTACCTGCCAGGCAAGAAAGACTATTATTGTGAGAAGGTCTCACCCGAACATTCCTGTGTCAATAGAAGGTCAGATTACCTGCCATCTCCCCTTGGGCCACTTCTGAACCTGTCTGTGACTTGTGACTATTTCAACTACACTTACCTTCTTATTCTCGACTCCCAATTCTCCCTGGTTTACCTAAGGCAAATGGAGGTACCCATGAAGAGAGTTGTAGGTGGCTGAAGATGTATTGAAGATGTTGTTGATAGGCCTTAGTAAGAACAACAACAAAAGGCCGGTAGGTGGGCTTGAAATCATGGTCTATAGAACTTGCAGATGGCAGGCTAACCTGATAAGCTAAAACATGCCTGGCAATCAAATGGGGGAATAGGAGCAGGAAAGTACACAAAAAACTGAGGAAGAAGAACAAAAAGATAAAGTAGTAAAGACAAGACACTAAATCTTTGGTGCCACAACCTGATAGGAAATAGAAAAGAAGACCCACCCATCAGAAAGCCATGCAATTCTCTCCATCAAACACAAGGCGAAAGTCTGTAACAAGGAAGAAGGCACTAGATGGCTGAGGCAGATTGAAGTGCTGTCTTCTTGGTGTACTTATGCCATTACTCCCTTTCTCTGTCACTTTGTCCTCTAATAAACCTTCACTAGCACCTTTATTGCCTGAATTTTTCCCTTGCCAGATGCAAGGACCAAAGTTGTTAAAATGCCCCAAATGTCTCATCATATATTTGGCACACTAGACAAGAAGCTAGAGATTAAGTATAGCATTTTTCTGACTTGGATTCATTGACAGGTAATAATCTCTTCTCCTGACTGCCAAGCAATAATCTCCTTCCTCGGGCCTTCACTATGTCTCTTTGTCATCTAGGGTTAAGTGACATGGGACTCTTGGGAGCTTGAACCTGGGTGTTGAGACTCAGCTTTTTTTTCTATTGTTTTCTCTAAAATGATTTATATGTTCAGATTACATCTTATCTAAGTCCCTCCTAAGAAAAGCTCCTAAACCATGTAAATGAATACCTCACATTGAGATAATTTGTGTATCTGTTGTAATGTTTTCTGATTTATCTAACTCCGCCCTCAACATGTTTTTCATTCCAACAGGCTATTTTAAATTTAGTGATGTATCACGACAATTAAAATATTAATCAATAAAAAAAGAAAGAAAATATTTGTCAAGCTGGAGTAAATCAAACACTCCTGGGACCACACTGTGTAGCCATGTGTGTTTTCACATCACTAGTTACAGAGCCCCAGTCCTGAGGCAAGCCAAGGAACGGGGAACACTGTAGCAAGTTTGACCTTGATAGCCTACAAAGTTTGTGCACACTTGCATCTGCTCACGGAAGCCTGGACAGTTGTCCAAGTCTCACTTGAAAAGCAAAGAGCCCCATGTGTGTGTGTGTGTATGTGTGTGTCTGTGTCTGTGTCTGTGTGTGTCTGTGTGTCCACAGCCCATTGTGAACAGATCAAGAAGGCTGCAGATATATTCTTAAGGCTGACCTTCAGCAAAGCTTCCCCCTTTTTGCATGTCTCAGGTTCTGTATCCCTCAGGTAGGAATAAGCACAGCATATTGTTTGTGATAGAACCCAGAAACATATCAAAAAGATTACTTAGCCCCAAAATCTTGCTTTAGTAGCAAGTTAGCTGAGGCACAGATATAATTAGAATCCAGGTCTCCACAAAACTTCAAAGCTCACTAAGGAGGTGTGTTCTTGACTAGCTAAACAGAAAGAAGTGCCAAGCAGCCGTGGCAGTAAAAAGTGAAGCGGCCAGTGCTCTAGCACTCTTCCTGTAGATCTTGCCGCCTCCCCACCCCCAAATCAAGCTAATCCAGCACAGGTCACAGGCTAATACAACCCCCACCCCCGCCCTACCACAATCGCCTTCTGGGCTTTCGTTCTGCTCTCCACCTCCAGCAGGAGGAAGGGCAAGATTATACTTTAAACTTCCCCTCAGTGAAGATTCTGGGCTAGGATATGCTGATCCTGCTTTCCTACTGGTGTGCTTAAGGAATGAACAATCTTGGACTCCTTCCATGGTTCCACTGGTTATGTCAGTGAATTGTTTCTACACCATCCATCAGTCCACTTTCCTCCCTCTTCTTTTAGCTCTTCTCTCCCTGTGGGGGCAGATCTGAAAATCAGAAAGAGGACCCCAGGAATAGGAGATACCCTGTTCCTAGGGTCCCTGAGTCATGGTACCAGTGAACCCTCAGGTCTCCATGGCCCTTTCTGAGCCCTCTCCCTCAGACTTCCCCACTGTGACAAATCTCACTCCGGGAGATGGCCATGGAGGTGGCATTAAAATGATATAGAAAACTGGACACATTCTTAGCCAAAGGATAAAATGTAAGAGAATCAAATTACCATTTTCAAATCACAAAGCACATGATTTATCATGTTGGGTTATAAGAAACCTGCAGATTTAGATGGGGCAGAACGAGAGCCAGTGTATCACTTCTCAAAGTCAACATCAATGACCTATGAAGCGATGCTTGTTCCTAACAACTAAACAAGCACTGACCTCCCTATATTTGCCTATATGCCAAATCATTGCACTTAAAAGAAAACCAGCTGAGCACAGTGGTTCATGCCTGTAATTCCAGCTACTTGGGAGGTGGAAACAGAATTTCAATTTGAGGGTGGTCTGGGCAAAAAGTCAGACTCTGTCTGTAAAACAAACTAAAAGCAAAATGCCTACATGTGTATATTAAGATGGAACACTTGTCCAGTCCATATGGAGAAAAAACTCATAATTGGGACAGGTGGACAGGAGAAATATGAACTTCAGTGCAGCTATCTATCTGATTGGTCCACATCCCTGAGGCTTTCCCAAGGTCAAAGACTGAGGGCCACCTTGTTCTCTAGGTATTACCTGGTCACTGATTTCCACAATCTGCTTCTCCGAGTCTTAGTGTTCAATGGAGAGTTTCTGGCTCTTGCCTTCAGGCCAGGGTGGAAGCTGAGAGAAGGGGACTATGGACCCAAATCTCCCTCGGACCTGAATCCATTTCATATGTTAAGTTGAAGTTTTATAAGGTGATTCTACATGAGGTTTCTTTGTGGAGTTGCCAAAAGCAAAAGCAGCTCAGCTCACTGGTATGTTTACAGGCATGACTGTGGGCCTGAGCAGACTCACACAGGTGTAGAACATTTTCCTCCTGATGCTTGGTAACTACCTGGGGATGCCTCACTCACCTCTGCCACTCACTTAGCTCACGTGCAAGTGACCCTGATCTTCACAAGGAAAACATGCAAATCAGCAAGTTCAAGCCTACCTGGCACAACAGCTGCCATGGAATCTGTAGAAGTACAGGAACGGGAAGTCCAGAACGCTGAAGAGGTCACCTGAGGAGCACAGAGGTGGTGACACAATGGCCTGCATAGTTGACATCCCCACCCTCCCACCCAACAGCCCCAAGAAGCTAGCAGCGCAGCCTAGCTATGAATTATCTCCCATATTCCGAGGATCCTGTTATTGGCACTGCCTTATAATAAGAACATGATCATGAAGACCACTAGTGAGAGCAGGTCTCCCGAAGGGCCCTGTACCCAACACATGATGTCTTTACCTTTTCCTATTTTCCTAATAACTCTGGAAGGGTCTATTGTCCCCATATTTTGCTGGAGCGCTTGAACTCCGGGCCTGGGTACCATCCCTTAACTTTTTTGCTCGAGGCTGGTACACAGCTCTACTTTGGGCTTTTTGCTGGTTAATTGGAGATAAGAGTCTTACAGGCTTTCCTTCTATGGGCTGGCCTTCAACTTTGATCCTCAGATCTCAGCATCCTGAGTAGCTAGGGATGAGACTGAGTAATTCTTGAACTATGGAGCCAAAATACATACCCCCTTCAACCTAACCCTTAAGATCTTTTCACCAGGCAGCTATCTGCACAGGGCAGAGTGAAGGGAAGGACGTCTTTTTTTTTTTTTTTTTAAGATTCTTTCTGCTTTTGGGGCCTTAAGTCTAAAAAAAGAACATGCATGCATTCCCCTGACATCCCTTTTCATTTTCATGTTTAATTACTACACAAATAGCACAGAGGCCAGACTGATTGCACACACTCATTTAGCTTCAGGTCCAAAGGGTACATTTATTTCTCGTGAAGTAAGTTCATTCTTTTAGTTCCACTTGGTACAAGAGGAAATAATCACACATATTGGCTGCTTCCCTCTCTGGAATTTGAACTTGGTCACAAACAAGAAGTCAGGAGATTAAAAAAGCAGAAAGCCTTCCAAAAATGTCCCAAGAAAAGGAATTAAGTATTTCCACAGCAGATAGCTTAATCCTCCTACATCTAGAATTTCTGAGACTCTGCAGGAGCCATGGTCTGTCTCTTAGTTCTGGGCACACTGGACAAACAGGGTGGCATTTCCTGAACGTTCATCATGTACCAGGAGAGCACAGAACATGCCAGCAGTATTTTCTTCACCTCTACAACTATTAATCAAATATTTCAGAGCAAAAAGTTTCAATGAAACCATGCACAATTCCTCAAGCCTATAATCTTAGCTACTTGGGAAGCAGAGATCAGAGGACTGCAATTCAAGGTAAGCTTAGGCCAAAAAAAAAAAAAAAAAGTCAAGGGAAACACAGTCCTAAATCACAGTCCAGGTCTGCCCAGGCATAAAGTGAAACCCTATCTTAAAAATAATAAATATACAAAAGGAGCTGACAGAGTGGCTTAAGTGGTAGAGTGCCTGCCTAGCAAGCCCAAGACCCTGAGTTCAAATCCCAGTACTGCCAAAATAAACAAAAGACACAATGAGCTTCTAATTTCCTCAGAGACCTAACCAATCGCAAATGATCCAAACACAGATTGGAAAAAAAGCTCAACATTCTCCTTATCTAAAAGAATGTTTTTCATTTTGAGCGTGATCTTTTCTCTAGGCAGAGCTGAGGCATATCCTGACTTCTATTTCCGTAAAGAAGTGACAGCCAAGATAACCCAGGGACCCTGGACCGCAAGGGGCCAGAGTGCCTGCTCAGGCATGTGGAAGGGACATCCGTGGAGAATTTGCTCTGTATCCTCTGCAGCTGTTGGTTCTTGGCTCTTTCCCAATTTCCCTGTCAGTGTGAGAGAAACTGCAGCAGTCTGTGTGAGAATGGGCAATGGCAGCGAGGGCAATCAGTTCCGTGCAGGACCTTGAGACCTGTCAGGCGGTGCCTCCTCTTTTCAACAGAAAGGAGGGGACTCAGGGGTGCACTGGCAAATTTTATAGCCCATCCCAGGCTTTGTTGGGGGTCTAATGAACAGAGCAGTGGTCAAAGGGAAATTGGAAGAAACACACAAAATCATGCCCCTGTGGAACTTACCATTGGGTAGTAACCCCCACCCACATCCTACAAGTGACCAATGAGAAGATGGGAGAATCACCTGCTCCTATCATGGAGCCATTTCTAAACCCTCTTGCATTCCTTTCAGCACCCCAGTGACCTGACCCCTGCCTTACTTCCTAGTACCAGAAGATCATTGAGAGCAGGAAAGTCATCTTCTCCATCCCAGTATCCGGGGTGCATGAACATTCATTACACCAACACGAAACAAGCACCACTGGATGCAGGGTATTGGAAAGACCTGAGTATTTCTTGCTTGTCCAGGAGAGGATGCTCCATTCAGCTCTGTGGCCCTCAGTTTTCAGCTGAGCCCAAATACTGCTCCTCTAATGCCCTCAACCTGCCTTTTCTTTGGTTAAAGTAGTGATCTTCAACAGAGAGGGGTGCAACAAAAGTCATGACCTCCATAAATTCCCCCCCAAAAAGCTGCACATACTCAATCCAGAAGCCTTTATAAAAATGTGTCAGTGGCTCACATCTATAATCCTAGCTATTCAGGAGGCTGAGATCGGAGGATCATGGGTGGAAGCCAGACTGGGCAGGAAAGCCCATGAGATTCTTACCTCCAATAAACTACTAAAAAGCCAAGACAGGAAGCAACAAAAGGTTACTGGCAATTTTTTTCCTGGGCTGACCTCAAATTTACAATCCTCTTACCTTTGCCTTTTGAATAACTGGTATTACAGGTGTGTGCCACTTTGCATGGCTCCTATCTCAATATATTTCTTATTGAGGAATCATTCCAAACTATAAAGTATACCATTTTCAAGTGAACAATCCATGTTTTTAGTATATTCACAGAGTTGGAAACCATCACTACTTCCCGTTCCAAACATTTTCTTCACCTTAGAAGGAAACTGACACCTATTTTACATCACTGCCCAGGCAAGTCTACAGCCCCAGATTGCTGGCCACTTTGTGTTTTCAGAGGGTAACTAAGTGGCCAGCATGCTGTTGCATTGACCTGAAAGGTTAGCAACAACTCAAAGTAAAATATCAGCCCACTGATCAGAATAAACTATTACCAGCAACCATCATGCTTCAAAAGGGGTGGGAGAAGTTCTGGGAATGTGGCTTAGTGGTAGAGTACTTGCCTAGCATGCAAGAAGCCCTGGGTTTGAGTCCTCAGTAACACACAAACAGAAAAGGCCAGAAGTGGGTCTGTGGCTCAAGTGGTAGAGTGCTAACCTTGAGCAAAAAGAAGCTCAGGGACAGGGTCCAGGCCCTGAGTTCAAGGCCCAGAACTAGCAAAAATAAATAAATAAATAACAAAAAACAAACAAACAAAAAAACGGGTGGGAGAAACATCTCCCAAACCAAGCAAAGCTCCCGAAAGCAACTGAGGAATTTCTAAATTCACTTAGAAAGATAGTCATTTGCTTGAGACTCTTTGTAATAAGTGAAGCATCTCTAGAAAAGCAGTTATTAAAAGAAAATCCTGGTAACTGTCAGGCGATCTAAATTGCAGTTTCCCTGTGACATACCTGCTCTGCCTCACCTTAGTTATGTTGCTTAAGTCCTGGGCTTGTTTCCTCACCTGTAAAATTTGGCAGCCACCTAAATAATTGCTAAAATCCTTTTCAGCTCTGATAATCACCACTGGAACAAATGGAATTGCACAACTTTTTGTTGTTTTGTGCCAGTCCTGGGGCTTGACCTCATGGCCTAAGCACTGTCCCTGAGCTTTTTTGCTCAAAGTTAGCACTCTACAACTTGAACCACACCTTCTACTTTGGGCTTTTTGATAGCTAGTTGGAGATAAGAGTCTCACAGTATTCCCTGCCCAGGCTGGCTTCAAACCACGATCCTCAGATCTCAGCCTTCTCAGTAGCCCAGCTAATAAGCATTACTTCTTGGTTGAAAAGCAAAAAGCCTCTCTTTAGATAAAGAAGTATTCATCCAAGTCCACTGAAAACAATTCAGAATGTAAACACACAAATCAGGTGGGTCTACAAATATAACTTTCCAAAGGGCTTTTGACAACAGAATCTATTAAAAGAGAACCCTTAATCTCTGTTAGCTGACAAACATCTAGCTGCACAAAGGCAAGACTGGAGAATAGCTTAAAGGTAGATAACCAGTGGTAGAGGTGAATCGAAACCTATGGGGGTTGATACAAAGTAGGCACTATTTACTGGGCAGGTGATTGTACTATCAGGGATTGTACCAAAGGTAAACACAGACAACAAAATTCAAGCAGAGATGAGAGAAATATCCCTGGACAATAAATCTACAATAGATTGTTTTCTTATATTAATTTTTTGTGGTGCTAAGGACTGAATCCCTGGCTGTAGTACGCTAGACAAGTGCTCTACCACTTCGCTATACCACCAGCCTTATGTACTGGGTTATTAAGAGCAGTTTCAAATAGATGGGCCATTTCAGATCTCTCAGTGTGACATCCTGGAGGCATCCTCCTCATGGATGCCTTCAGTGATAAAACCAGGCTCAGAGAATTGGCTGAACAGGGAATGCAAACAAACCAGTGAGCTCTCGGGCGGATTTACCTGTGGGATGAGATGCAATTGTCAGGAGCGCCACACTGAAAAAGACATAGCAGATATTCAAGAAAGCATCCCCAGCAGCACATTAAACAAGCAAAAACATAAAACTTCTATCCACTTTACTTGAAAATAGCTAACTTTGTGGGAAGAAAATTATCTACACAGACTGGTCTCATTCTGCCCAAGCCAGCTCTTCAGAATGGCAATCTTTTTTTTACACAGAGATTGCTGTGTGAGAACTCTTGAACAAGGGAACTGAATCCACACTTGGGATAATAAGGGTCTTAGGTCCCAGCTGAGACTCAGTTGGGTCACAGTTCTTGTCCCTGTTGACTCTATCATCATATTTACCTAATTTACTAAGCAGATTTGAAGGCTAAACAAAGCAAACTCCAAATTATAGGCAGGCTGCAATCTAACAGCTAGCTGTTGAGTATATGCTAAGTGTATTTATGCTAAGAGATGAACTGTACAGAAGGTAGCTAAATTTTCAACTGGCTCAAGAAATTGATCCACACTTCTACTGCTTGGCTGAAAACTACTAGACCAATAGATGCCAAGGGCCAGGAGAAGAAAAGAGAATGAGAAGGAATATTCCTTTGATGTGAGCCATATTAGACCCTGGCACTTCTCCCTCAAAAGTCTCCATCTCCTCATTTCCTTCTTGGGTGCCTGTGACCTGCCTGAAGCACAATATATGAGCCACATCCGCACCTTTTGCTGTCTCTTCTATCAAAACTCCATGCCGCGCAGGCAGCCGATTGAGTTTAAGAACAGGGATAAACCATGCTAAGTATGGGAGGGAGATTTTTCTTTTTAGAAGTGAACTAAGAAGGTCTACTCTCTTTCTACACCCTGGCTGCACACCAGAAGGGCCCAGCCTCTTGGCTTACATCAGAATCTGAGGGTGGCCTTGGCAGCTGTTGTTTTCTGTTTAAGACCCAGTGACACTGTGGTGCACTGGGACTACAACCCATACTAGGGAATCTCCAATAGAGGCAGACACTGCAGGCATGAAGAGAAACCACTGTTAGCTCGTCAGCTCTGCCCTGTGCCTGAGATTATTACCCTGAGCCATTTCTGGTTCTCCAAGTTCGCTCTCTATTCTTCCTCTAAAGGGTGGTTCACTGTGCCCCATACTCCACACACCAAAACATCAGCAGTGGCAGAGGCAGGAGAGAAGGAAAATTCTGGAGAACGGCAAGGCCGGTGGTCTGTAAACCCTGTCTGTATGACAAGGTTGGTTGTATCTGTAAGAGATACTCAAACAAGATTTGGATTTTATAATGATTAGTCTTTCACATAGGCTTTATGTCTTTGCTTGTCATCTTATCTTTGGAAAACACCTGCTGCATTATTTTCATTCCCTGGATCTTGTTTTGTTATAATATCAGGGACAAGTTATTGTTCCAATGGCAGGATGTAGGGCCTCTTTCAATCCCCAAATATCACCCAGGAACAGCCAGGGTACCCCAAATCCCATTATAAGAATCACCCCTAGCCGGGCACCGGTAGCTCACACCTGTAATCCTAGCTACTCAGGAGGCTGAGATCTGAGAATCGCGGTTCAAAGCCAGCCCGGGCAGGAAAAGTCCGTGAGACTCTTATCTCCAATAAACCACTAGAAAACCAGAAGTGGCGCTGTGGCTCAAGCGGTAGAGCGCTCATCTTGACTGAAGAGCACAAGGACAGTGCCCAAGCCCAGAGTTCAAGTCCCACAACCAACCAAAAAAAATAAATAAATAAACAAAACCTAAAAGGTGACTCTAAAATATTAGGAGGAAGAAATAAGAGGTAGTAATTAAATGAAAGAGTTGGTTCTCTAATCCCTATTTGTAATTTTGTAAATATATAGTGTTAGAGCACTCCTAATTCCTATATCATGATCTTCATAGGGATAGGGGCCAGATTTTTATTCTTATCCAAAGGGATATGAACTAGATTTTCATCATTTCTGGATCCCAAGTGCCTATCAGTGTTAGACATACAGCAGGTGCTCAACGTGGGTTCTGAATGTATTTGCAGTGGGAATATTAAAAGTCAGAGCCAGGAACAAATGCATGCTTGAAGAAGCAAGCGTTATCTACAGAGACCCATCCAACTCTCTGCCTCTCTCAAAATTGAGAGCTCAAACCAGTTCCTTGTCCTGACAGTCCATGCTCTGGGCCAGTCTAGCCAGTGACAACCCATAAATCTGAGAAGACTGCAAGTTTGTGAATGCTGATTCCCTCAGCCTCCAGAGTCAGTGGGAAACTGAACAGTGGCCCTCATTCTGAGCCATACATTTTTATTGCTATACTGAAAGCAGAACAGAGTCATAGCTTTAACAGGGTATGCTGCAGTCCCAGCCAGGATGCCCACAAGTAATAAACAGCTTCACACCAGGCAGTGGGAAGTGGATGGATCAAACAGCAGAGGGCTACAAAAACCCACTTTCTGTAGTGTGTGTATGTGTGTGTGCGTGTGTGTGTGTGTGTGCGTGTGTATGTGTGCATGTGCATGTGTGTGTGTGTTGGAATTCCATGCTCCTATCAGAAAGAATGACACTGCCCCATTTGTAAGGAAATGGAAAGACTTGGAAAACTTCATATTAAGTGAGGTAAGCCAGGCCCAAAGAAACATAGGTAGGTCCCATGGCTTCCCTTATTTGCAATAATTAATACATGTTTAGGATAATCTTAGCAGATGAGCTGAATAGTTCAACAGCTATGTACATATGACCATATAAGATGATGCCAAGTGAAATGAATTCTAAAACATGGACACAAGAGGTTTGTCTTTGCTGTGGATTTTAATGAACTATGTGATTTCTTGTTTCTTTTGTGTGTTCTTCCCCCTATGGTTTATCCCTTGTCACTGTATTTGATTTTGGTACCCTGGGTATTGTATACATGTTTATCTGAATTAGGGAAGGGAAGGGGAGCAACAGAATGGCGAAACAAAGGACAAGAAGGGACTCAATGCAACATCAATACTCACAAGACACTAGGTTGAAAATGATCTACCACTTGGGGAGTGGTAGAAAACAAGGAAGGGAGTTCGACAAGAAATGTACTTATTACCTTACTTATGTAACTGTAACCCCTCTGTACATCACCTTGGTAATCAAAAAATAAATAATAAAAAAATTAAAAATTCCTGGTCCCCATTTTCTTGCTGCATCATGTGACTATGTGTACTAGCTCTATATCCCCCACCCCAACCCAATGTCTACGAAACACTTACTTATTTTGTCAGTGGTAAGGATCAAATCCGCAGTTTCATGTATGCTAGGCAAGCACTCTGCCATTGAGCTACACTTCTCTCAAGTGGAAACATTTAAAACATCGAGAGCCTTTTGCATTTTTTTGAAGTCTCTTACATGACAGATGGTGGTGGTTCTGAGCAGAGTAGAAGTGATGTTTTTTTCTGTTTAGTACAAAGGTGGCTCACAGCTCATGCTCTGGGTGAATCTTGCCTTCAAAGAGTATTTTAATAAATACTGGGGTATTTATGAGCCCTCTTTCTACAAATGAAGACTACAGATCAGGCTAAAGTTTGCAAATCAAATAATCTATAGAAATAAGCAAGACCAAATGCTGGGGACCACCACTGACTTTAGCCCTTTACTGAGAGTCACTGTATTAGGCTAACTTGGTTTCTCAGCAGCAAACCTCACTGTTTCAATCAGGTCCCTGTGGTGCACAGACTGAGACTACTGAAATCCAAGGATGACTCCCAGCCATTCAATGTGGAAGACCTACCCTATCCTCTGCTTGCCTGGGGTAAGGGTGTAAGTATTTTATTTGTGTATCATTTAAATATTTATAATATTTACAAGTTAGAAATCTACTTGGGAGACAGATATTGGGAAATCAAGGTTTGAGGCCAGAAAAAGAAGTTCATGAGACTCCAGCTCAACCAATGATGTAGAGCAGTTGTGTGCACCTGCTATTATTCCCATTACAGGAAGCACAATGGCTCAGCCAGTGCCTGTCCTTCCCAGTGACACAAGGAAGCATAAGTAGAAGGATCAAAATCCAGCGTGGCCTGGGCATTTAAAAAACTGAGACCTTCCCTCAAAAATAACTAATACCAAAAGGGGCTGGAGTGGTTCAAGTGTTAGAATGCCTACCTAGCAAGAATGAGGCACTGAGTTCAATTTCCAATTATCACAAAAGAAAAAATAATTAATTAAAAGTTACAAATCAAGGCCTGGAATGTGGCTCAGTGGTAGAGTGCTCATCTAGCATGCATGAAGCCCTGGGTTCAAATCCTCAGTACCACATACACAGAAAAAGCCAGAAGTGGCTCTGTGGCTCAAGGGGTAGAGTATTAGTCTTGGGGGTGGGGGCGGGGAAAGAAGCTCAGGGACAGTGCCCCAGGAGTTGCCAAAATAAAAGTTCCAAATCAAGAGCAGGTAATTTTTCTCAGTAGTAAAATGCTGGTATTTTTTGCCTGGTATACACAAAGCCCTGGGTTACATTTCTAGAAATACACACACACACACACACACACACACACACACAGTTACAAATCAACCTTCAAACTTGACCCTACCTTAGCAAATATTCCCTGAATAACCTGAAGTGTAGATTAACACTTAGAATGGCGAGAGGGCTTAGAGCTTCGTGGAGAGACGGCAGTGCGTGTGGAACTGGCCTCGGGCTCCCCATGTGCCTCTTTCTCTTTCCACCCCAGGCTCTATCCTGCACCTCACACATGTGTGTGGACACCTCAGCCTGCAAGGCCTCCAGCTGCCTCCCCTCCTTGTTACAGCCTCTCACTGGGCACCCTGTGGCCCAGGAATAACTTGAGAAATAGACTCTGGGAGGGTCTGCAACCCAGCCCCAGGCCACCTGGATAGGAGATCTGGAGCACAATCTAGAAGAGAAGGTACAGGCTCTGGATGAAATGACCCTCAGCCTCGAGGGAGAAAAGCTGTGGAGTTCAGGGTTAGACTGAAGTCCCTACTGTTTGTTTCCTCAGGTTTAGTCATCTCACAAATTATTTAACTTGTCTGCCTGGCAGGTGCAAAATATTGTTGGAAAATAAAAAAATCATTGTGAGTTATTCCTTAAAATATAAATTTTACTTTACCTGAATATATAGTTTAAGTACTGCTGGTCAATGTCACTGAGGAATGAAACAGAAAGATAAAACATGTGAAATAACTGAAGTAATTTCTAAATACATAAAATGATCATTGTCTTCTATCTCTATATACAAGTTACTACTTTTGTAAGTCATCAATAAAAAAGGAGCAAGAGTAATTTATATTCAAAGCCAGTTCTTTTTTGTGTTTGCCAGTACTAGGACTTGAACTCAGGACCTGAGCACTGTCCCTTTACTTTTTCACTCAAGGCTAGCTTTTCCACTACTTGAGCTCCTCTTCCAACTGTATACTGGTTAACTGGAGATAAGAGCCTCACAGACTTTTTTGCCCAGACTAGCTTTGAACCATGATCTTCAGATCTCAGCCTCTTAATTAGATAGAATATCAGGCAGGAGACACTGGTGCCCTGCTGATATCAGTTCTTTTTCTATTATTATTATTAATCTTTAAGTAGTTGTACAAAGGAGTTGCCATTTAACAAAGCAGTTAATGAATACAATTGTTTTTTAATCCTGGTTGGTTTGTTTCTGCTGATCCTGGGGATTAAACTCAGGGCCTGGGTGCTGTCCTTAAGCCTCTTTGTGTTCAAGGCTAGCAGTCTACCACTGGAGCCATGTGCCACTTCTGGCCTTTTCTGAGTGGTTTATTAGAGATAAGAGTCTCACAGACTTTTCTGCCCAGGCTGGCTTCCAACCATGTTCCTCAGAACTCAGTCTCCTGAGTAGCTAGGATGACAGACATGAGCCACCAGCGCCCACCTTTAATCCTGCTTTTTGAAGCCACATGTTCTCACATTGCAAAACCTTCTTCCAGCAGCCATTCCTTCAGGCTTTTTCTCTCTAGGCCTGCAGTGGCCCCAGCCCCCAGCAGCCAGGGTGGCCAATCTCAAGCTTCAGCTCTGCTTCAGCCAAGAACTCTTGTCTGTTGTCATTTGCATTCACCAAAGCTGCTCTATTGACTGCCTATAACAAAGGCCTCATTTTGCCAGAGAATGGGGCTGGTGTCTGGGGAGACTTCTAAGTATAAATTAAGTTAGGCAGGGGCTGAGAAAACAAAGCTGCTCCTCTAAAGCTAGATGTAGCTAATTGGTGCCCAAACAGGGGCAATGGTGCCAAAAACACAGGCATTTCATTGAATTCTCACCTCAATGGCTGCCTTTAGCTAGGTAATAGTAGCTCAAACCTATAATCCTAGCTACTCAGGAAGCTGAGATCTGAGGATCATGGTTCAAAGCTAGCCCAGACAGGAAAGTCTAAGAGACTCATGTCAAATTATCCAGCAAAAGGCAAAAGTGGAGCTGTGGTTCAAGTTGTAAAGTACCAGCCTTGAGCAAAAAAGCCAAGTGAGAAGCCCCTGAGTTCAAGCCGCAGTACTGGTACACAAACACAAGGCTGCCCGTGAAAATAGAGACCCCAGATTTCATACCTCTGCACATAACACTGAAGGCTGACCTGTCTCTGGTACCGGTAGGCCCAGCTGGGTAAGTGCCCCTAGCAGCAAGGGGAAAGATGGATGACTTTGAGGTTAACTCCTTTTCCTTTAACCAAGCATTAAGAGCTTACCTTAATGTGTTGGGCTTCAGGGATTTCCGTAGTATTTTATAAGACCCTAGAAACGAAGCAATGTGTGTTGATGGCACATGGCATTCTGCCTCACAGCTGTGGGAACACAACATTCAGAAGACAAAGGCCCCCCAAAGGGTGCTCCTGTTGCTCCCATTTTCCCCATGAGGGTCATAGACTGACAAGAGTACAACAGCACTTGAGGGTTTAAAGGATGCAAAATCCATCATTCTCCATTGTGTGGTCTTTCAAGCAGCCTGCCAAGAGTGTGGCACCAGGAAAGTGTCATGGCCAACAGAGACACACAATTAACAGGAAGGCTTTAATTCTTTCCCATGATACACATGGCAAGAGAGAGACTAAGGAATTTGAATGTTTCTGAACTGTGCCTAAGTCAGAACACTGTTTCTTCCCTCTAAGACTACAAACAAGAAATACTATCAGTTAAATTGAAATTATGACCAAAAAGAAAAAACAAAAACTGAATAATATGGCAAGTTAGGCACCACTGGCTCATGCTGTAATCCTAGCTACTCAGGAAGCTAAGATCTACGTTGCAATTTGAAGACAGCCTGGGAAGATAAATCTCTAAGAGTCCCTTGTCTCCAATTAACCACTAAAAAGCAGAAAGGTGAGGTATGGCTCAAGTGGTAGACTGCCAGCCTTGAGCATAAAAACGAAGAGAGAGTCCCCAGACGGAGTCTAAGCTCCAGTGCCAGTATAAAAAAGAAAGTAAAAATAAGAAAAATCAGATGGACCTTTTATTTCACCATTGGGAAGTATTCTACTGAAAGAAAAGGTTTTGACATAACCTTCTGGTTACCTGCCCGCCATTCTTAGGGAAGACAGCCAGCATTCCAAGAATGAGCTTGGATGGGCAAAACCTGAGTACGTGAATTGGTTAATATTTGTCAAAAAAATATTAGCATATTGGAGATAAAAACATTTGAGGAAAACTTCAAAAAGGAAAAACCAATCCAGAAGGCTATTATAATTTTAATTGTTAAGACCATGGATTTAACTTTCCTATGTCCCAGGATCACTAAAAAGTGGATACAGAAGAACTAACAAACCTCAACTATTCAAGTAAATGTTCTTTTAAAACTTACCTACACAGCATGTATGAATGACAGCCCAGAAATATCCATCTGGATCAAACTGTAACACAGTTATAAAAAGAAAATAATGACTATCAGGGGAATACATAAGCAGGATGACGGGAAACCCAGGTCCCATCCGTGAAGAGCACCAAGCAAGGAGGCCTAAACACCCAACTCTCCAGCCGCAAGTCAGTTCCTCCTCATTTCTCTCCCCGTAGCCTAAACATCTTTTTAGCAGAACTCTGCCTTAGCACTCCATTCCCCTCACAGTTATTAAAAAATTTTGTTTGTTTTTTAACTAAGAACCTGGGTGTTGTCCCTGAGTTTTTCTGATCACTTCTATCACTTGAGCTGGAGCCCCACTTTTGACTTTTTGGTGGTTAACTGGAGGTAAGAGTCTCACAGACTTTTCATCCCATGCTGGTTTCAAACCTCGACCTTCAGATCTCAGCCTCCTAAGTAGCTAGGGTTACAGGCATAAGCCACTAGTGCCCGGCCACCACACCGTTTTAAATTCCAAACTCAGGACCCCAGACAACCTCTCTTGTCTCATCGATAACCCTGTATATCCCACAGAACAAGGATGGCTTGCACTTTCCCAAGCATGATGCTTCCCCTCCAACTGAGCCATGGGAACCCTTCTTCCCTTCTCTGTGATTCTCTTTGAATTTAGCATCATTTGTCACACACTATAGATTCCTTATTCTCCATTTCCCTGTCTCCAGCTCCACCTAGCCTTCTCTACGTTGTAAATTAGAACAGGGCAGACATATAGTAAGTACTCCCTGAAGCTGAATCTCAGACTATTCATGACTCCTCTGGGACTATGCCCTTGCCTGCTTGCTTCTCCTGGATAACTCTTCCTCATTCTTCCAGATTCACCACCAGTAAGCAGAGTCTCACACAAGTACCAGAAAGGTCTGGATTAAATTCTAAAATCCCCACTTACTCTATTGATGACCTTTTGAATTGTACTATTCTTAACTATGCACTAGAGATAATAGTCCCTATCCTTACAGAATCATGAATTTTTAAATGAGACAGGGCACGTAAGATACTGGCACAGAGCCCACACACAGCAGTATCCCTATAATTGGTAGTGTTCCTATTTCTGGAGTCCCTGGGCTCTCATAGGAGCTTCAAGGTCTCCAGAGTCTCCCGTCTCCAGAGCCCTGGCCTCCCTGTGATGTAATGATCTGCTATCTCCCCCAACTCCTGCTCTGAACAGAGTCCAAGTTCTGCCAGGACAAAGACTAATCATTGTACCCTCAAGGCCTGGTGCAGTGCCTGACACTTAAGAAAGTTTGGAAAGTCAGGCACTGGTGGCTCACGCCTGTAATCCTAGCTACTCAGGAGGCTGAGATCTAAGGATCATGGTTCTAAGCCAGCCTGGGCAGAAAAAGGAAAGTCTGTGAGACTTTCATCTCCAATTAATCACAGAAAAAGCCAGAAGTGGTGCTGTGGCTCAATTGGTAGAGCATTCACCTTGAGCAAAAGGAGCTCAAGGACAGTGCCTAGGCCTAGAGTTTAAGCCCCAAGACCAACAGGAAAAAAAATAAAAAAGAATGCTAGGAGAGAGGGTAAGAAGAGAGTAAAGAAAGAAAACCTAATAAACAGATAAAATCTGCAGTTAAGTGAAGTAAACTCAACTTGGGACACAGGATAAAAAGTAAAAATCGCCCTGCAAAAAAACGTCCTAGAGACAAGCAGAAGAGGTCAAAAGCTATGTACATATGACCATATAAGCTGATGCTAAGCAAAATGAACCCCAAGATAGGGACCCAAGAGATTTTATCTCTCTTGTTGTTCTTTTTAATGTACTTATAATGTACTATGTGATTTTTGTTTGTTTCTTTGTATGTTCCCCCCCCCTCAGTACAACCCCTGTTGTCACTGTATTTGAGTCCAGTGTCTTGCATCCTGTATATACATTTTTCTAATTTGGGGAGGGGAAGGGAAATAACAAAATGCTGAAATGAGGATACAGGATGATCTATTGTAACAATCAGATGTACAAGACACTATGTTGAAAACTTCACAACTTTGGGGGGGATGGGGAGGAGTTGGAGGGTGGAGGAAAGGTATGGTAGGGGAAATATAAAGGAGGGTATAACAATGCTGGATAGGAAATGTACTCATTACCTTGTTCCTGTACCTGTAACCCCTCTACACAGTATATTTACAATAAAAAATATACATTAAGAACAACAACAAAAAAAAAAACTCCTGGAGCTGGGTGCTGGTGGCTCACGCCTGTAATCCTAGCTACTCAGGAGGCTGAGATCTGAGGATCACAGCCCAAAGCGAGCCTGGGCAGGAAAGGCCCTGAGACTCTTATTTCCAATAAACCACTAGAAAAACGGAAGTGGCTCTGTGGCTCAAGAGGTAGAGTGCTTGCCTTGAGCTAAAGAGTGCAGGGATAGCGCCCAAGCCCAGAGTTCAAGCCCCCCAACTGTGCAAAAAAAAAAAAAAAAATGTCCTTGAATGACAGGAAAACAAAGAGGTGACATAAGTGGAGGAATGTGGGTTTACCAGCACAAACATAGGGTGGACTGCATGTTCCCAGGAACCAGAGCCCCATAGCCAGGGACAATGGCATAGCTAAGCCAAATGGTAGCCAGCCAGTGAGCTTTTGGATGCTTTTGCTAGGCCAAGCTATCCTGAAAGGACTAGGAAATTCTGCGCAGACCTGGGAGGTTCAGAGAGTGAAAGGTTCTTCGAAGGCTCAATGAGTTCACCTGGATTTACCTGGGAGTCATTGAAGGGAAGGCACCCCGCAGCAGCCAGGAGGAAGAGGGCACTGTGGATAGGCAGATAAAACAGGCAGCTTCACCTTTCAACATCAAAGCACTTCCTGAGTGGAGGCTGACACGCATCCACTGGAGTTCAGAGGAGGCAAAAAGGCTGTGAGAGTAACCCAGTTCTCCTATCATCCTCTAAGAACCTGACTACCTGTGTCCTTTTCCATTATGTACTCCACAGACAAAGCTTTCCTTCTTGGTGGCTCAGCTGCCTAGTTCCCAGAGCCAGGCATTCCCAGGATAACTGAAAACCAGAGCTGGCTCCCTCAAGAAAAAGTGTACCTGTCCAATGTCTGACAAAAGGAAGTTTTCAACTACCAGTCTTCAAGAATATGTGAGTGGTGAACTGGGGAAACAGATCACAATCATGCCAGTGGAAAGACCTTAACTGAAGGACTGCACTCAGTATCCTCCTACAGCAGAACAGACCCACCTCTTGTGCATCGAGTCCATGTACTAAGGACACAACATCACCAAGGTGGTGTTCCTGCCGAACACACAGAAGCTGAACTAGAGCCTAAGGAAATGCCAAAAACAAACTCAAACTGAAGGACGGTCCACAAAATAACAGATGTGTGAAAACAGTAGGTGACAGTGGTTCATGCCTGAAATCCTAGCTTCTTTAGGGCTTGAGATCCAGAGTTGAAGTTCAAAGCCAGCCCAAGCAGCAAAGTTCTCCTCCCCCATAAAAACAAATATATATGTATGTATATATATGTGTGTGTGTATGTGTATATAAGTATATGTACACACACACACACACACACACACACACACACACACACACACACACACATCTCAGTTCTCTACCTCTAGGACTGAATATAATTATTAAAGGGGAAGTAAGCAGCATCCAGGAAACAAGGCACTGGGGTCAGAATAAGAATGTGGATTGAAAGGACCTACGTGACAGAGCAGCCACGATCATATTCTACCGAGAAACTGAGGCACTGTTGCCTATACAGCATCACTTTTCTGTGGCCCCAGACCACAATTCAGGGACTCACAGGCTTGTCTTTTACCTCCATGGAAAAAAATATACAAGGCCAAAAAACTGCACACATGAATATTTTAAGTAAATATCTAGATTTTCCTTTTTGTTCTCCCTCACACCTGCCAGCTCTTACTGGGATTTGGAGACATCAGTGGTGAAATCTGTGGGTTGGTTTTATTCGTTTTTCTCTTCAGAAGAAAATATTGCAAAAAAAATTAACTTTTGAAATAAGACATGCTATTGGGAAATACGACTTCTCACAATAAATTTCTCTATCCGTGCCTCATAGTACAACTCTTCACCAGCTTATCAACCCAAGTTAAAATCAGGTTAAATATTCTATTTTAGAGTGCTTTTTCTTTTTAACTTACCTACAGGTCTTTGCAGGAGATGTTTTCTGTATGAAAGAAAAAAAAAGACCTAATTAGTCTATAAAAACATTTTCCCCTTTAAAATAAAACCTTTAAAAAACCTTGAGATTACAAGGCAAATAAATTAGGAGGAAATGTATTAGGGGGTTTCAGAGCTTGCCGCTTTTTCGTATGTGTGTATTTACTGAATCTTTTCTGCTTGGATCAAATGAAGGATGACTCAGTTGAGAGTTGAGTGGCTTCAACAAAGCATTTTCACCATTAGAATTATGTTTACCAATGAAAAATAAAATTATGTCAGGGTCAGTCTTCAGAGAGAAATCAAAGCAGTGTAGGAAAAGAAATTTATGTGCTATCTTAACTTCTGTTCTAGGTTTGTCTCTTTATTTTCACTTATTTCTTTACTTACTTTTGAAATAGGGTCTTGCTATGTTACCTCCACTGGCCTTTAACTACAAATGATCCTCCTGCCTCAGCCTCCCTAGTAGGACAGGATCACAGGCATGTACCACTGTGGCCACGTCTATCTCTAAATACTCCTTTCATTAACCCAGCTCTGACACTGAGCAGCTTTATAAGTTACCTGCTATAATGTGAAAATTAAGAAACAAGAAAAAGGGACATTATTTTTCGAATGCGTGCCAGTGCTGGGCCCTGAGTGATGTCCCTTAGCTTTTCCACTCAAAGCTGGCACTTTACCACTTGAGCCACAGCTGCACTTCCAGAATTTCCTGATTAATGGATTTATTGGAGATAAGAGTCTCACAGACTTTCCTGCCTGGGCTGGTTTTGTACAGAGATTCTCAGCTCTCAGCTTCCTGAGTAGTTAGGATTACAGGTATGAGCCACCAGCACCTGGCATTACAAAAAAAAAAGGAATCTTTTATTCCCAAAGTTGGAAAACAGAGAAAGAACAGCATTTGGGGGAATAAAACTTGGCCTTTAAAACTTAAAATGAAGAAATTCTACTTTGAACTTTTCCTCTATCAACTTTTAATTCATCAGTTTAAGGGTACTAATCTTTGCACCAGAGGAAGAAAGTTACAAAAGGGACAAGTACCAATTTTTCTATATTTGATACAGGAAGAAGAAAGATAATATGGCAGGTTCATTCTGGATATTTAAGAAGGGCCATTTTCCTAGTCAAGAATCAACTACCATTTTATCCACTGGTTCAGATAACACACATACTGCTTAGAAGTAAAGAGTTGACCACAAAAACATACAAGGTTTGACATGAAAGCTAGCTTAAGTTTTCATGTGTTATGCAATATCTAAGACTGCATTATTAAATAAATGCATTCTATTTGTGTAAGGCTCTGGCTGTATCTTTAGGATCTTTCATCTCTGATCTTTGACCAAACCCCAATCTAGAGCCTAGGAAGGCAACCACAGTTGTACTGCCCCCTGGTGGCAAGAGTTGCCCCCTCCCCCCATGGCCTTCCCACCTGCCCCACCCACCACAGGATAATTAATGAGGACAAAGGCACCTGGTTGGACTCTTAACTGAATTATTGCATCATTTTTAGCAATGACCACACTTAGCACAATGTGTTTATGAAAGTTTCTGACCCAAATATAACCAAAATTTTGACAGTCTAATAGAAGTAGGAACAGAGAGGGTAGAGATTAAGGGGATGTCCTTTTAAACTCATGATTGTAATCCTGGCAACTCAGGAGGCTGAGATCTTTAAAACATGGTTCAAAGCCAGTGTAGGCAGGAAAGTGTGAGATTCATCTCCAATTAATCACCATACAAGCCAGAAGTGTAGCTGTGGCTCAAGTGGTAGAGTGGTAGCCTTGAGCAAAAGAGCTTAGAGACAGCACCTAGGCCCTGAATTCAAGCCCCATGACTCTTCACCCTCCATGTGTTGGATGGTTTTTGTGGCCTTTCACAGAGGAGACCCTAAAAGTGAAGGACTTGCTCCAGTGGTTATGAGGTAGAGCTGTGACTGGAAAGAAAGGGGATTCCTCTCGGGGTGGGCCAACCACTAGCACCCTGTGGGAAATTCTGCCATGCATTTTCTTGCATTTGGGATGAGCTGGGCCCACAGCTAATTCCTCTTTGTGTCATAAGAGTCTAAGTCAGCCCTGGGCTGGAGCCTCATTACAGGCAATCACATTTGGGCAACTGATCATGGTCAAGGCGGGTTTCTCTGAAATGAGTGACCACTGTCTGCCAGTCCTGACTAGAAATTGACAGCAGGAGAAGATACTCATTAGGTCATCAAAAGAAAAGTGTCAGGCGCTGTTGGCTTACAACGTAATCCTAGCTACTCAGCTAGCTGAAAAATTTGGTTTGAAACCAGCTCAGGCAATAAAGTCTGTGGGATTCTCATCTCTAACCACCAAATAAGCCAGAAGTGGAACTGTGGCTCAAGTAGTAGAGTGCTAGCCTTGAGCACAAAAGTCAGGGACACATTTGTTAGGAAATGGAAAGACTTGGAAAAAATTATATTAAGTGAAGTAAGCCAGGCCCAAAGAAACATAGGTCCCATGGTTTCCCTTATTTGCAATATCTAGTATATGTATGAGTCAAGCAGAAAAGGTCAGATAAGGTGATGTTAGGAAAATGAACCCTTAGATATGTATTTAAATGTTTTTTTTCTTTCATGCATTTGTTTCTAACGCATTTATAAGATTATTTCTTTGTTGCTTTGTATGTCCCTCCCCCACAGTATAACCCCTGCTTTCACTGTATTTGATGTCGGTATAATTTGTGGAGGGGAAGGGGAAAAACAAGTCGTTTAAATAAGGATACAGGTGGACCCATTGCAACAATGAGAAGTACACGTTGTCATGGCGAAAACGAACTTTACAACTTTGGTGGGGGGGGGGAGAGGATTGGAGGGGGGGCGGGGGGAAGCTAGGAAGGATGTGAAGGGTAAACAAAGGAGGAGGCTACAATGCTTGATAAGAAATGTACTCATTATCTTGCCCATGTAATTGTAACCCCTCTGTACAGTATGTTCACAATAAAAATAAATAAATAAATAAAAAAAGTCAGGGACATTGCCCAGGTCCTGAGTTCAAGCCCTGGGACTGGCACAAAAAAACAGTAAAGTACTTCTTTAAAATTTAAAGTAAGGGAAGCCAAACGAGCATTTTGCATATTTACCTCTTTCCGAAAACACTTCTGGTACCCACAGACGATAACTTCAGCTACATTATGCAAAATGAGAAACACAGGAACAGCCTGCGAGAAAACAGAATAATAAGCATGAAAATATTTTCTTTGATCTCACAGACATGAGTGTTGATTTTTGCTTAAAAATAAAGAACTATAGCTGGGCACTGGTATCTCATGCCTGTAATCCTAGCAATTCAGGAAACTGAGACCTGTGAATTGTGGTTCAAAGCCAAGCCCAGGCAGGAAAGTCATGAGACTTTTATCTCCACTAAACTACCAACAAAGCCGAAATTGAGTAGTGGCTGAAATGGTAGAGTGCTAGCCTGGAACAAAAAGAAAGGCAGGGACAGATCCCAGGTCCTGAGTTCAAGCCCCAGGACTGGCACAAAAATATTTAATAAATCAGTAAATATAAAGATCTGTGGCAACAAAAACTTGTACAGGCAATAGTGCTTTTTTATGGAGTATAGATAGAGGTTCACCCTGATTTTTAAACTTCTATAACTTTATGACTCTTCTCTATTTCAGCAGTTGAATCTGCCTCACTGTTTCATTTTTGTTCATTCCTGACATCTTTTTTCTTGGTGTGTGTGAGACAGAGAAAGACAGAGTGTGTATGAGTGTGTGTATGTGAAAGAGAGAGAGAGAGAGAAGAAGAGGGAGAGAGAGAGAGAGAGAGAGAGAGAGAGAGAATTATATATATGTGTGTGTGAGAGAGAGAGAGGTACTAGGACTTGAACTCCGGGCCTGGATGTTGTCCCTGAGCATCTTTTTTTTTTGGCTCAAGGCTGGTACTCTATCACTGGAGCTGGTTAACTGGAGGTGAATCTCACAGACTTTCTTGTCTGGATTCAAACCAATATCGTCAGATCTCAGCTTCCTCAGTAGCTAGGATTGTAGGTATAAGCCAACAATAACTGCTTTCTTCCCTTTTATTTCTTTGTCAATTGTGGGACTTGAACTCAGGCACTGTCCTTAAGCTTCTGTGCTCAAGGCTAGCACTTTACTACTTTGAGCCACAGTGCCACTTACGGTTTTCTGGCAGCTAACTGGAGATAAGAGTCTTAATGGACTTTCCTGCGCAGGCTAGCTTCGAAGAGTGGTCCTCAGATCTCAGCTGCCTGAATAGCTAGGATTATAGGCTTTTTTCTTCCCTTTTTTAAAAGAATCTTATACCCTCACTTATCTGTCATTAACAATTCAACTCATGGTTTTTCTCTCCTCTTAAAATCACCTTTCTTCTTTCTTTTTTTTTGTCAATACTAGATTTGAATTCAGGGTCTTGAGCTTACTAGGCTGGCTTGATACCTTTGAGCCACACCTCCAGCCCTGTTTTTCACTGATTATTTTTGAGAACAGGGTCTCATTCTTACCTGGAGAACATGCCTGAGGCTTGATCTGCCTGCTTTCAGTATTCCTATTCCTGCTGGGATTATAGACACATGCTACTGGGTCCAGCTTCCCTCCATCGAGACAGAGTCTCTCAGATTTTTCTGGCCAAGCTGTCTGAGAACCACAATCTTCCGAATCTCAGCTATGCATTAAGAAGAGGATCTCACAGATTTTTTAAAAATAATTTTTATTGTGATTAAGTGATTACATAAATTTCACAAATTTCACAGCATTGTGAGATAGTGATACTTAGTTAAAGTCACAAACACATTCAAACCTTCATTAGGCAAATTGTCATTATCATGGTCTATAAAGTTTGTGAATTCTGGGCTGGGAAGGTGGCTCAGTGGTAGAGCGCTTGCCTTGCATGCCTGAGGCCCTGGGTTCGATTCCTCAGCACCACATAAGCAAAAAGAAAAAAGCCGGAAGTGGTGCTGTGGCTCAAGTGGTAGAGCACTAGCCTTGAGCTGAAGAGCTGAGAGACAGTGCCCAGGCCCAGAGTTCAGGCCCCACGACCGGATCCAAAATAAAAATAAAAAAATTAAAAAAAAGTTGTGAATTCTATGAGCTTTGACAATACAACTATTTCTTCTAAATTGGGTGGTATATACATTTCTTTCCTTTTGATTGGTATTAGCTGTTCCCTCTATCCCTCTAATTCCCTCCCTACTATTGCTGCCCTTGAGTTGCTTAGTTCGTTTTCATCAATGTCCAGTGGCCCTCTGTTGTATGTTTCCTCCTGTTTCCCTCTGATTCTGTATCCTCCTCCTAGTTTCCCTCAGATGTGCACATATATACCATATATGTGGTCAGCAGCATGGGGTCATTTAGTCGACAAGATGAGTGGAGGTCTTTTGTTTCTCAAGTCCTGTTTACTTTGTCCTAGCTCCTTACATTTTGTATTTAACAACCACATCTCAGGGAGACCATGTGCCATTTGTCTCTTTGCTCTTGGCTTACCTCACTCAATATGATTTTATTTTTCTAGTTCCATTCATTTTCCTGCAAATGCCATTATTTTGTCCTTTCTAATGGCTGCATAATATTACATTGTATATAGGTATCACAAGTTTTGGATCCATTCATCTGCAGTTGGGCACCTGGGTTGTTTCCATATCTTGGCTATTGTGAACAGTGCTGCAATGAACATGGAGGTGCACGTGTCCTTGTATCCTGGTTCCTGTTGCTCAGGGTAGATGCCTAGGAGTGGTATGGCTGGGTCATAGGCGAGGTCTATATTTAGCTTTCTGACGTACCTCAGAAAGCCTTCCAAAGTGGTTGTACATTCCCACCAGCAATGCAATAGAGTTCCTCTTAATCTGCATACCCTCCAGCATTTGTCGTTGGCTGAATTTGGGATGCAGGCCATTCTGACTGGGATAAAGTGGTATCTCAGGGTTGTCTTTATATGCATTTTCCTTACAGCCAGGGATGGTGAACATTTCCTCATGTGTTTCATTGCCATTTTTATCTCTTCTTCTGAGAAGTCTCTCTTTAGTTCCCTTGCCCATTTAGTAATTGGTTTGTTGGGTTTGGGAGGGATTAGTTTCTTGAGTTCCCTGTATATACAGGATGTTAACCCCTTGTCTGATATATTGCTAGTAAATATTTCTTCCCAATTGGTTGGCTGTCTTTCTAGTTTGGTTGCTATGTCTTTAGCTGTGCAAAAACTTTATTTTAAGGTGGTCCCATTTGTCGACTCTTTCTCCAATTTGTTGTGACCCTTGGACTCTGTTCAAGAAATTCCTGCTTGTGCCTATAAGTTCAACTGTCTCTCCTACTCTGTCCTACAGTAGTCCCAGAGTTTCAAGTTTGATATTAAGGTCTTCAATCCATTTTAAATTGATGTTAGTGCATGGTGATAGGTTGGGGTCCACCCAGTTTTCCCAGCACCAGTAGTTGAAGAGGCTGTGCTTCTTCCACTGTATGTCTTTGGCTCTTTTGTCAAATATCAGCTGACTGTAAGCATGTGGTTTTATTTCTGGATCTTCTAATCTATTCCATTGGTTTTCGGGTCTGTTTTTGTGCCAGTACCATGCTGTCTTCGTTATTATGGCTCTATAGTAGAGTTTGAAGTCTGGTATCATGATCCCTCCATGTTGTTGGGGGTTTTTTGCCTAGAATTGCTTTGGCTACTCTAGGCCTTTTGTTGTTCCATATGAACTTTTGGATTGTTTTCTCTATTTCAGTAAAGTATGTCACTGGGATTTGAATGGGAATTGCATTGAATTTGTGTATCAAATTTTGGCAGTATGGCCATTTCACTATATTAGAACATGGAATATCTCTCCATTTCCTGGTGTCCTCTATGATTTCTTTCTTTAGGCTTTTATTGTTTTCATTAAATAATTCCTTTACATCTTTGGTTAGGTTAATTCCTAACTTTTTTAGGTTATTGTGAATGGGGTTGTTTATTTGATTACCCTTTCTGCTTGTATGGTGTACAAAAAGGCAACTGATTTTTGTGGGTTGAATTTGTATCCTGCCACTTTGCCAAAGTGGTTTATAAGTTCTAAGAGTTTGGGGGTGGAGTTTTGGGGATCATTGAGGTATAATATCATGTCATCTGCAAAAAGGGGTAGTTTAACTTCTTCCTTCCCTATGCGGATCCCTTTAATGTCTTTTTCTTGCCTTATGGCTCTGGTTAATGATTCCAGAACTATATTGAAGAGACGTGTTGAGAGTGGGCATCCTTGCCTTCTTCCTGTTTTTAGGAGAATTGGTTCATAGATTTTTTAATAAAACATTTTCTTTACCCATTCGTGTGTTGATGGATATCTAGACTGATTCCCAGAGTGGAATACTGAAAACTTGATTATTTGTGCAAGTGGTAGAACTGACTTACAACAGTTTTCCATGGAAAGCTCCAGCCCTGCCCACAGCCAGGGCCGTGGGTCATTCTGCATAGGTATGCATGACCTTTAGGCAACCACAAGTCCTGGCTCAGCTTTTTAACTTTTGTGAAAGAATATCAATCCCACCTTCTTCTGTTTGGGTAACTTATAAATATGTGAGTCTGTCTGATTTTTATCAGAATTCTGAGTACAAGAAATCATGCATCTAGAGGATTTGGGGAGAGTTATCTCCCTCTACTCCTCAGTGGAGCCAGATAACTAGAAAGCCACTGTTCTTACCCAGCCAAGCTACCTCAAGTCCATGAGTTCAAACACCAGTGCTGGCAAAAACAAACAAACAAATAAACAAAATGAACAAAAACAGAACAGGAAGAGTTAAGTAAAGCCAGCTCTGTGGGAGGTAGGTAATAGGATGAGGGGCAAACAGAGGGTAAGAATTAATATAACCAAAGACAGAGAGGGGCTAAAGGAATAGATAGGGGGATTGATCAGGATACAGTACAGGCACATATGGAAATATCACAATGAAACTCCCCCTTGTACAGTTAATGTAAGCTAATAAAGATCATTTTAAAAGATTTATCTGAGGCCAGATGTGGTGACACACGCCCATAATCCCAGCTACCCAGGAGATGGAAATAGGGAGTAATGAGGTTCTAGGCCAACCAGATCAAAAAGTTAGCAAGACTTCATCTCAACAAATAGATCATATTGGTTCACTATGCTCAGGAGATGTAAGTAAGAGGATCTGTCCAAAGCCAGCTCGGGGGAAAAAAAGTACAAGATCTTAACTGAAAAATAACTAAAGCAAAAAAAGGGTCGAGGGCATGACCCCATGGTAAGGCCCTTGGCCAGCAAGAATAAGTCTGAGTTCAATCTGCAACACAATCAGAGAAACTAAAGATTGGCAACAGGAAATGCTCAACACATACCTCACAACGGATGGCTGTTCCCATGGTGTCTCTCACTGTCCCTAACCTTTTTAAGTTCTTCAGGAACCAAGTCTTCTTTGTTTTTAAGCTCGCCACACATAGTAGGTCCCTAACAAATATTTGCTGAATGGATACAAGAATCATCTCCTTTCCCTCAACTCTGCATGCTATTCAATTGAGAGATGGGAAAATCAACAAAGAACTCTTCCCACAGGGCCTTTGCAGAGTTCACTCAGCTTCCTCTCAGGAGCTGCACAGAACAGAACTTCCAGACCTTGTCTCCGTGGAGCACAGCTACCTGGATGAAGTGTTTTACATAGCAACATATGCACAGATTTTTAACTGAGCATTTGCCCTCATTCCTTAAGGATTCATTAACTGATGTTTTGGCACCAGCATATTGGTGCCAGTTTTTACCCAACACAAACTGTAGGAGTGCCTCATGTTTATCCACCCTAGGAATGTCTAAGCAGCCACATAGAAACAATTCCAAAAACAAAGAAAAGATGCTGGGTTGAGTTCTTTTACTGAAAATCAGTGTCTCTGACGAGCCCTCCTCCATAACTGAGTACACTGGGTTTAGGTTGTTACCCTTTGTTCAAAGTGTTTGAACTGAGTAGCTTCTCTTTGCCTATTAAGGAAGGCAATGCTCTACACCAAGTACACTCAACTGCTGGTTCTTGAGATTAAAAGCTCAAATCAGAATGGAAAGCAAATGTTTGCTTAGAGTATAAATCAATATGCTGCTTTCCTTCTTCAAAAAGTCTTGCTGTGAAAATAAAGCCAGGTGCACTAAACTGAGTGTTTAATACTAAAAGCTAAGGTACATCCTGCTACAAATTTCCCTTTGGCACATCCGGAGATCACACTGAGAAGCATTGTTCTAGTTTACAGAACTCTCCAACTGCCTGACACTCGTGATAGACTCTGGAGAGGTGTCAAATCCCTGCCCCTTCTCTGGGTAAGAAGCTCAGCACTGAGAATCCACAACACTTTCTTCTCAGACTTTGGGATTCATGTAGGGATCCTGTTTGACCAGAGCAGGCCAATCAGTACTCCAAGCCTGTCTACCTACAGTGGATGGGACTTGCCCAGCAACATGAGCCCAGCCTCCTGCCTAGTTTTCAGATCAGTATAGTCCCTGACCCCAAATGATCCAATTCAAGCAAAGCCTGGGACTCATGCAAGAGCATGAGGAAGACGTCTCCACAAGAAAACTAGGAGGAAATGAGCCCAAAGCCAACTATACCCATGAGGGGCTGACCTGACTATGACACAGGACAAAGACAGAGAACAGAACTATGTCATTTTAACTTATGGATTAAATCATGACTGAAGTAGGGCTCTATTCTATACCCTTTAAGTTATATGAACTCCCAAATTTGGCTGAGACTACTTTGTAAGTTTTCTATTACGTGCAGTCAAAAGAATCTAAAGGTTTGAACATGAAATGTTCTCCCACAGGCTCATGGGTTGAGTGCTTGGTCCCCAGCTAGTAGTGCTATTCAGGAAGGTTCTGGAAACTTCCAGAAGTGAGGGGCCTCACTGAAGGAAATAAGTCATTGGGAAAATGCCACTGAAGGTCATAGCTGGTCTCTAGTTTCTTCCATACTTTATGGTTCTTCCCACCATGAAACGAACAGCCTTCACCTCCACAATTCCCTACCACCATGGTGTTCGGCCTCACTGTGGACCTGAATCAACAGAACCAAGGATGGAGGACTGAAATCTCTGAGACTATGAGCTAAAATAAGTAATACCTCCCTTAAGTTGTTCTCAGTTCTACAAATAGAACTAATATACAACTACTACACCTTGGGCTCATTCAAAAATCCATGTGCATTGGTCCTAAAGAAACCAATCTGGACAGAGGCCAAAGGTAAAGAGTGAAGTTAGGTACTAGCCGCTCAGAAGGCTGAGATCTGAGGATTGTAGTTTGAAGCCAGCCTGAGCAGACAAACCTTGAGACTCTTATCTCCAATAAGCCAGCAAAAAAAACCCCAACAAACTAGAGTGGAAGTGTGGTTCAAAATGGTACGGTGCCAGCTGTAATGGAAAAAGCCAAGCAAAAGCCTGAGGCCCTCAGTTCAAACCCCAGTTTTGGCACTAGATGCAAGTAAATAAGACTTTCCACACCAGTATACATTTCTGCCTCTGTCTAGTGACTGTCGTCTCCCCCTGACTTGTCCAGTGATTTTGAAAAACACATAAAAGGAAACTTCTGAAAAAGCACTATACAAATAATAAATATTAATATAAGCATAATACATGACTTAGTGAACCTTCAAAATTCTGGTACCCATTAACTCTGCAGAACAAGACTTTGAGCAACACATTGTTTTTCCACAATCCTATACTCTGATGCAGGCGAAGGAACGCCCTCTGCTGGCAGAATGGTGTAAAGTGGGACAACATTCACCAGCCTGGAGGAACTCAGAAGGGGCAGTAGGGACTAAGCAGAAAGCCAGTGCAAGCCACAAAGAGCTGAGCTATGGGTCAGTTCCGAAGCCACCCAGGAAGTTTCTCCCCCTTCCAGTACACATCCCATCTTCTCAAGCTTATGAATCTTGAAATAAAAAAGATGATTTAATTTCAAAATACATTCTTGCCCTCTATTTTGCAATCTTGGAGTTGTTGTAACAATAACATTGTTAGCCAGTTTAGGCAGACGGTATTTGTTGGGTCTTTTTTATTATTATTTTTGTATCTGAGACCTCAGGGACTAATATAACAAACAATATAAGGACTAAATTATTTAGTAATTTCCACATTTTTCTAAAAGTCAGAATATAGTACATTTTCTGAGAGAGAAAAATAGTTATCAGTCACAGTATAAAAAAGGGGGAAAATTAATGCTGTTCTTGATTTTCTTATTTTATTTACTTTTTGTCAGTTGTGGGGCTTGAACTCTGGGCCTGGGTGCTTTCCCTGTGCTCTTCAGCTCAAGGTGAGCGCTCTACTGCTTGAGCCATAGCACCACTTGTGGTTTTCTGGTGGTTTATTGGAGATAAGAGTCACGGACTTGGGGCTGGGAAGGCGGCTCAGTGGTAGAGCGCTTGCCTTGCATGCATGAGGCCCTGGGTTTGATTCCTCAGCACCACATAAGCAAAAAGAAAAAAAGCTGGAAGTGGCGTTGTGGCTCAAGTGGTAGAGCGCTAGCTCTAGTGGTTTTAATGGATTCCCTTTCTATGGCAAAATAAATTTTTTTCAGCATTACCAGCTTTGAACTCAGCCTTGTTCTCAATGGGCTTGCTTGCTCTGCTGGCATTCTACTACTTCAACCATACATCAGTCCTGCTTTTTGCTAGTTAATTGGCGGTAGAGTGCCATGGGCTTTTCTATACCAAATGGCTCTGAACTGTGATCCTCTGGATCAAAACTTCTTGAGTAACTAGAATTACAAGTGTAAGCCACCCAACCCTGGAAATAACTAATTATTTTTAGCATTCTCAATAATGTAATTATTTGGACTGTCCTAGATTGGCACAGGCCCCAAACTTCTTCTCTAATGTATTTTCCTTTATTAAAGCTGATTGCCCTCCCCCACCACTTTTCCCACAAAGGGGAAGAAGACAGAGGGATCATTTCTCAAACCTCTAACACTTACCAATCTGGACAAGGCTCTGGACCCAGCATAGATTACACCCACAAACACCACTGAAGCTGGAAGCCACGTGGAAACATCAGATCTGCAAAGAGAAGGAAAAGTCATAATGCCTTTGCAACTGTCTGTTTCAAAAGACCTAGCTGAAGGGTTGGTCCCTATGAGGGACCTACCCCCACCCCAGAGGCTGGCTGAGTATGGCAAAGTATTCCTGATGACCCCACTGAGATGTGATCGGTATAGCCACTGAAAGAAGAGTGACAGAGGCTGACAAAGCCATCCAACCTACTGCCCCCAAACATAACAGACCCCAGAACTGGAAATGACAGAAACCTTGCAACAATTTAGAGAAAAGAACAGATCTGATTTTCTTCAAAGACCAGTAATATTTTACATATCCTATTTACTCCACTATATCAGAGTACAATGAAATCACAAGAAAAAGAGGATGAACCAAACACTTAAAAGTAATAAATTAAAAACAATAAATCCTAGAGCTTCAGCTGGGTGGCCACCTGCTAACTTCAATCATTAACCTGGCATTGCTGGAATTCTGTTCCAGGACTCTTCAAAGACTTCTGAAAGACATATTTCTTTAATTCAACTGTGATCACACCAGGAACTGCTTTTTCTAGGATCATATTCTCTACAAGAAAAGCAAAATCCCTGTCTCACACAGAGCACCTCACACTGTGGTAACTGGCTTCTACCATCAGTTATATAGGCAGCCAATCCCAAAACTACCCTAATAATGAATACAAATAAGTGAATCAAAGGGTGCCTGTAATCCTAGTTACTCAGGAGGCTGAGATCTGAAGATTGTGGTTCAAAGCCAACACTGGCAAATAAGTCTGTGAGACAATTAATCACCAAAACTCCAGAAGTAGAGGGCTAGCCTTGAGTAAACAAGCTCAGGACAGTTCAAACTCCAGGACCTGCTAAAAAGGAAGGAAGGGAGGGAGGGAGGAGAGATAGAAAGAAGAAGAGAGAAAACAAGAAAGAGGGGCTGAGAAGGTAGCTCAGTGGTAGAGTGCTTCTTTGCATGCATGAGGCCCTGGGTTCAATTCTTCAGCACCACATAAGCAGAAAAAGCTGGAAGTGGTGCTATGGCTAAGCGGTAGAGTGCTAGCCTTGAGCTGAAGAGCTGAGGCATAGCGCCTAGGCCGAGTTCAGGCCCACAACCAGCAAAAAAGGAATAAAAGAAAGAAAAGGAAACAAACAGGGGCTGGGAAGGTGGCTCAGTGGTAGAGCACTTGCCTTGTATGCCTGAGGCCCTGGGTTCGATTCCCCAGCACCACATAAGAAAAAAGCCAGAAGTGGCACTGTGGCTCAAGTGGTAGAGTGCTAGCCTTGAGCTGAAGAGCTGAGGGACAGCGCCCAGGCCCAGAGTTCAGGCCCCACGACCAGACCCCCCCAAAAAAAAAAAAGAAAGAAAGAAAGAAAAGGAAACAAACAAAGAAAAGTAAATCCATGACATCAGCATAGAAGACAATCATCCCAAGGAGCTCAATGAACTGTGCTCCTAAAATAGTGCCTTTCAAGACATGGCTTTGTTGGTTTTATTGGCAGGGACCAGTGCTCTATCCAAAATCGGACACAGACCTAGCATTTCAAAGTTTTTAGGATGCAATAAGGTCTTCAAACCTTACTCAGTGGATCAAGTTGTTCAACTGATATTCATAGCTCCTTATAAAGTTCTGGGATTTACAATTAGCCTTACAGTGAACATTTAGTGAGTGCTGACAACAAACCAGGTTCCATGCTTCATCTTTTAAAATCTGTACAAGAAGCCTGATTGTTGATGGTCTGTGACTTCACAATAGTTCAACTAAAGATTTCAAACTTGAAACACGGGCACAGGATGACCTACTGCAACAATGATACCCACAAGACGCTATATTGAAAATGAACTTTACAACTTTGGGGGAGGTGAGGAGGAGTAAGGGAAGTAGGGAAGGGAAGGCATAGTGGGAGAACATCAAAGGAGGGGGTAACAATGCTTGATAAGAAATGTACTCATTGGGCTGGGAAGGTGGCTCAGTGGTAGAGCGCTTGCCTTGCATGCCTGAGGCCCTGGGTTCGATTCCTCAGTACCACATAAGCAAAAAAGAAAAAACCCGGAAGTGGCGCTGTGGCTGAAGTGGTAGAGTGTTAGCCTTGAGCTGAAGAGCTGAGGGACAGCGCCCACACCCAGAGTTCAGGCACCACAACCTGACCCAAAAAAAAAAAGAAATGTACTCATTACCGTACTCCTGTAACTATAGTCCCTCTGTACAGCATCTTTACAATAAAATAAATTTTTTTTTAAAAAAAGAGCCGGGCGTTGGTGGCTCACACCTGTAATCCTAGCTACTCAGGAGACTGAGATCTGAGGATCACAGTTCAAAGCCAGGAAAGTCCATGAAACCCTCACCTCCAAAAAAAACACCAGAAAACCAGAAGCTTGCCTTGAGCTGAAGAGCTGAGGGACTGCACCCAGGCATAGAGTTCAAGCCCCATGAACAACAACAAAAAACTTCAAACTTGAAGATGGTGTGACAGCCATACCCTAATCCATAGTGCTTTTCACTCTCACACAGTATGTTTAAAAATCACACGATATACTCAACACTTGATGATTCTACTAGACTGTAAGCTAAAACATGTATTTTGAGCACATTCCAGATAGGCTTGGACTACCAGGAGCTGATGGCTCATGCCTGTAATCCTAGCAACTCAGCAGGCTGAGATCTGAGGATCAAGGTTTGAAGACAGCTCAAGCAGAAAAGTCCATGAGGCTCTTATCCCCAATTATCCAGCAAAAAACTAACCTGCAACTATGGCTTAAGTGGTAGAATACCAGCTACAGGTAAAAGTGCTGATCAAGAGCTTGAGGCCCTCAGTTCAATCCCTGGTAGCAGCATGAACACACACACACACACACACACACACACACACACACACACACACACACACACACACACACACACACACACACACACCAAAAACAAAAACAATGCTAAGCCAAGATTTGACCTTCTGTAGACTATGTGCATTTTTTGGGAGTGGGGGTCTGGTCGTAGGGCCTGAACTCTGGGCTCAAGGCTAACACTCTACCACTTGAGCCACAGTGCCACTTCCGGTTTTTTTCTTTTTGCTTATGTGGTGCTGAGGAATCGAACCCAAGGCCTCATGCATGCAAGGCAAGCACTCTACCACTGAGCCACCTTCCCAGCCCAACTATGTGCATTTTTAACTCATGGAATTTTCAATTTATGATGGGTTCATCAGGACAGAACCCGTTGTAACTCAGGAACACCTGTACTGTTACCCTACTGTGCAAGTAAGCAAATAAAGGTACACAGTGAATATCCTATTACCAGCTGGTAAATGGCAAAAGTAGAATTTGAATTAAGGTCTCTGTGGCGCTAAAGGCCCAGCTTATAATCTTTCTGTACCTTGCTGGCACAAGGCCTCGTGCTCTAGAAGAGGTGAGAAACTTTTTTATGCCAATGGCCACTTGGCTATTTATAATAAGGGCCATACAAAATTATGACTACAGGCAGACAGCTGTGGATAGCCAATGAGCCATATAGTGTACATGTCCACCCTGTCATGTACCAAATAATTTTGAGGGCTTCATACGACCACAAGGGCCACGCGTCCTCCACCCTGCTTTGAATGGGAGACACCGACTATAAACACACAAGCAACAAAACAACAGGGATTTGGTAAACAGATGAAGCAGCTAAGTATCTGAGGAACAGGTTCTGTTACCCATAGCCCTGCTGTAATATTTTAGGTGTCTACAAGGTACACAGGGAAAGAAAGACACCATCTCCCACCTGGATAGGCCAGCAGCAACAGAGCCAATTGCTGCTCCCTGAAGAAAACGCCTTACCATTCACAAGATCAAACGTGAAGACGGGGCTGGTGGCTCACGCCTGTAATCCTAGCTACTCAGGAGAATCTGAGGATCGCAGTTCAAAGCCAGCCCGGGCAGGAGAGACCGTAAGACTCTTATCTCCAATAACCTACCAGAAAACCGGAAGTGGCGCTGTAGCTCAAGTGGTAGAGCGCTCACCTTGAGCTGAAGAGCGGAAGGACAGTGCCCAGGCCCAGAGTTCAAGCCCCACGACCGACAAAAAAAAAAAAAAAAAAAAGAAAAGATCAAACGTGACACTAAGCTCATGCAGATCACGGGAGACAGGACAGAGGCCAGTGCCCTGTTGTACACCGGAAGGAGTCTAGGGCCTACACTGCAGGCAGAACACTGGTGAGGAAGGAGAGGGCACCCGGGGCGAGATAGCAGCTGGCCCAGCTGCAGCAGGCCCCTAACTTTGGAATGTAAGGTCTGTGGGGCTCCAGACATTTGTGCTCAAGTCCCTCTTAAATAAACAAAGGAAGCTCCTGCCGAGTTCTGTACTATAAGAGCCAGAGGTTGTGGCCATGAGGAAAAGAAAGAAAACAAACCCCAGAACATCTTGTATTTAACCCCTCTACCCTAAGATACAAAGAAAGAACTTCCACTAGAAAAAGTGCATGCAAGTCCTGTTTGATCTAATACACTTCTGGCAAATGTGACAGGGTGGCTGTGTGAGCATCTGTTCCAAATGGACCTGGGATACTAAGGATACAGTCAGCTCACTTGGGGGGGGGGGCGCAAACTACAGGGTGCTCAGACAACAGGAATGTCTGTAATCCCAGCTAACAGAGGGTGTGAACACTTACTAACAACTTTAGACACCTGCTGTAGGTGTCTAAAAAGGCTGTAGGCCTTTTGGAACACACATCAGTGAGAGGCTGCCCTCCTCCTCCACACGCCAACAGAACACCACAGCTGCTGCTAGTCATAAAAAGGGGCCAGGCACCAACGGTTCATACCTAGCTACTTAGGAAGCTGAGATGGAAAGGATTGCAGTTGAAGGCCAGCCCAGGTAGAAAAGCCCATGAGACTGTTTCCAGAGGAAGGCTAGACATAGTAAAATGAGCCTGTCATCCCACCTTTAAAGTAGTGACAGATTACATTGCTGGCATGTATCTAGGCAGGAAGGGAGGCCCTAACCTAAATATAACCTGAAAAAAAAAAAAAGGCTGAAGTCCTGA